ATACTATTTTTTATTTATGCTAGTGCCATCAATTCACTTATTTCATTACAAATACTGCATGAATTCAGATAGAAAACTTTTAATTTTACCTTTTTAACACTATTCTGTAATCTTGCCCTTGTTGATTTCTAGGACTTGTGTCTGCTGCTTTTTATTTTCAGATACTGCTTTTCCACTTGCCAAAAATCAGTTTTGTTTTCATTTTGTGTGAATTTATTACCAGGTTCCAATACCTGTGACAAACTGGTTTAAACCCTCTCAAACAGCCTAGTAAATCCCCTTGCTAGGCTTGCAAAGTGGCCTAAAATAAAGTACTAGTAAGTTGTACAGGGATAGCAAGAATTGCAGATGCTGGAGTCACTGTCAATACGGTGTGGAGCCAGAGGAATACAGCAGGTCAGGCAGCATCAGAGGAGCAGGAAAGTCAATGTTTCAGGTTTACAGACTTCACGTCCTGATGAAGGGTGTAAACCCAAAGCGTGACTTTCCTGTTCCCCTGATGCTGCCTGACCTGCTGTGTTCCTCCAGCTCCACACTGTATTAACTACTAGTAAGTTGTAACCCACCTGCCCCAGAAATCTGAAGCACTGCCTCCTGCACCACTTTTCCAGTTACATGTATACTTGCTCTTATTTCTGTTATGCCTATTTCTATAGTTACTAGCACATGGTATTAGGAATAGTCTTGAGTTATTGCCTGCCTCCCTAAATTTTACATTCAGGACTTCATGCCACTTTCTGCCTGTCGATGTCAATGTGGACCATGACCTTTATGGTTCTTCACCCTCAACCAAAAGAATGTCTGGCAGCTGCTTTGTGACACCCTTGACCCCGACACCAGGGAAGAATAAGCCACACTAGAGTAATTTTAACGCCCACAGGAACTGCTATCTGTCCATTTAACTATCACAGGACCTACCAATATTGCCCCTTCCACTCTCCTTCTGTCCCACCTGTGCAGCAAGCCACTTGTGATGTCATAAGCTTGACACATTACATTCTCTGATGAACCGTTACTGAGTGATGTAGACTCAGGGGTCTCTATAGTACCTGTCTGCTCTTATAATTATAGAACCCCTACAGCATCAACCAGGCCATTTGGCCCATCAAATCCACACTGACCCTCCAAAGAGCATCCCACCCAGACCCATGCCATACACTAACCCTGTAACCCTGCATTCACCATGGTTAATCCACCTGACTTATACATCCCTAGACTCTATGGGCAATTTAGCATGACTAATCCACCTGACCTGCACATTTTTAGACTGTGGGAGGAAACTAGAGCACCTGGAGAAAACCTACGCAGACACAAGGAGAATGTGCAAACTCTACATGGACCGTCACTGGAATCAAACCTGGGTCCCTAGTACTGTGAGGAGACTGCCCAGAAGTCATCCATTCCCTCTGCCTGGCTGGTTTTCATCTATAGTGTGACTTCTTTGCTAAATATGTTATCACAGAATTCTCTGCTTCCCAGACACCACAGTGAGTCCAGCTGCCATTCGAGCTGTTATGGAAGCAATTTTCATACACATGATCATCTCTCAAAATGCTAATGTGCTTCTGTGATTGTTGGGGGGAGTAAGGTAATAGTTCTCCCTTAGAATTCGAATAACCTGCCTCACTGCATAAGAAACCAAGGAATAATCTCCCTGATTACTCTGAGCATTGTCCAACATTCTAATAGGCTCTTAGCAATTTTTCTATTGCTACTGTTCCATCGTCCATTTTCATTATTGCTACAGTTTTATTGACAGACTTCTTAGGCATCCCTAACTGATTTATGTTTCAACATCACACCATTTGCTTTTATATGATCTGTCTTATGGTAGTGGAAGCATAGTGACTTTATTTAATCAACTTATCCTCTACACTATTATTTTTGTTAACAGACAGCTTCTCCCTGTGGCCAGATCTTTTCCATTCCTCAACTTGCCTTGAATGTTTACAAGTATAGATTTGTTGTCTACTCGCTATCTAAGTGGTATATTGAACCTATTTACTAGAACAGCACTATCCCTTATCTTAGAAATTTTATGGTTTGACTTAATAAGTAATGGGATACTGTTTTTAAAATGAGATAGTAAGAACTGCCGATGCTGGAGTCAGATAACGGTGTGGAGCTGGAGGAGCAGAGCAGGCCAGGCAGCATCAGAGGAGCAGGAAAGAAGGGTCCCGACCTGAAACGTCAACTTTCCTGCTCCTCTGATACTGCCTGGCCTACTGTTTTTAAAATGTTCCTTTATTATTATTTCCCTCACATTCTCCAATATCTCTTCTAATTTTATTGATCAAAACCATAGTCAAAACATAAGTTATTTCTCACCAGCAAATTATGTGAATTCAATGGGTGGCATGCTGGCCCAGTGGGTAGCTCTGCTGCCTCAGTGCCAGGAACCCAGGTTTTATTCCACCCTCAGGTGACTGTCAATGTGGGGTTTACACATTCTTCCTGGTTTCTGCCGCGTGCTCTGGTTTCGTCCCATAGTCCAAAGATGTGCAGGTTAGGTAGATTGGCTATGCTAAACTGCCCATTGTGCCCAGGGATATGTAAATTAGGTGGATTAGCCATGGGAAATGGAGGGTTACAGGGAAAGGGTAAGAGGATGGGTCTGGGTAGGATGCTCTTCGGAGGGTCGGTGTGGACTTTTTGGGCCGAATGGCCTGTTTCCACACTGTGATTCTATGAAAGAACTGCTAATGCTGGAAATCTGATACAAATACAGAAATTACTGGAGAATTCAGCAGCCCTGGCAGCATCTGTGGATAGAAAGCAGAGTTAACATTTTGAGTCCAGTGACCCTTTTGCAGATTTCAAGCATCCGCAGTTCTTCACTTCAAATTCAGAGTCTGTTGTGGCCAGTAGAGGTATGGTATAAGGAGCATTCTCCACTGTCAGCCCCACCAACTTGGTCAGAACAATAGCTAGATCAAAACAAAGTAGGTCTCAATTCATCATCAAACTATTAGTTCCTTCTTTGCCAAAAAAAAACTTCCTTCAGATCATGCTGGCCAAATGTTTTTCTCTTTTTGAAGACCTGTTTCCCATTTCTATCCACCCTTGCCAGCTTCACTTCATGTAATTTCAGTTGCAACTTCTGTATTTCTTTTGTAATTTGAGGTGCTTCGCTTCTTTTTTCAGTTCAAATCGCTTCATTTGGAGATCTACAGAACTGAAAAAGGCCCTTCAGCCTATCAAGCCTGGAAAGTTCAATAGCAGCTACCTCACTACACTAATCCCATTTACTAGCACTTGGCCTTCTATACCTTGACATATCCCTAACAAAGGAATCAAAATTCTATGATTCAGCTTTCTTATCCTCTGTTTTTAATTCTGTTTTCAACTTTCCTACTAATGCTTTTAACCTTAACCTTTATTACTTGTTGCAAATCACTCAGGGCTAAAGCTTTCATTTATAGGACAGCCTCTGCCATTGATAAAACCATTCTGCTTTGCAAAAGAGATAGGATTAAATGGTGAATTTTACTATTAGTTTAAACCTTTGGCAGTCTCAGCACCTGTGTTTATCTACAGAAATCCTGCAAAGAGCCTGCAATTTTGTTCTGATTTCAGTCAATGCCAGTTTTTTTTTAAAAGAAGGTGAAATCTTAAATAACAGTTATTTACTGAAAGACTGAAGCTACAAGATTCCATTGTTTAAAGCAAAACAAAACTGCTGACAGTAAGGGAATCAAAGTAGTCACCAAATTCTATCTTGGGTAACCACCTATATTCTAAATTTCATAATCAACTTAGGTTCAGCACGAATTTACCGGTAAATTGTGGCAGCTTAAATTATAAATTGCACATTCAATAACAAATACAACTAAGACAGATCTTCAGCTATTGGTTTGGCAGTCCACTCCATATGTATGTTATTAATCTCAGTAACAAAATCCTTCAACATTTCAGCTTCCTGGAAATAATTTTAGCTGCTCTTCTGGGATTTAGCCTAATTTTTTTTTTCTTTATTCATTCACGGGATGAGGGTGTCGCTGGTTAGGCAGCATTTATTGCCCATTCCTAATAGCCCAGTGGGCAGTTAAGAGTCAACCACATTGCTGTGGGTCTGGATTCATAGCAAGGATTTTCAACAATGAAGGTATACATCTGCAGAACCTGCTGAACTCTAGTAACAATGGTCTGGATGTTTTAATCCACCAATGTTATCTTCCAGTAATAGAAACACTCGCAGCAACAAAATATTATCTGTTCTGAACTTCTAGATCTTCTTCAACTTGCCTGTACTGATAGGAATCATTATCTGAGCTCTAATGTCTCTGTGTTCTTTTATATGATTTCACCTACCTTTAGTTATCCCCCAGATTTAGTTTTTAATCTTAGATCCTTTAGAAACTGGAAATGACAGTTTCTCAATTTTTTTTGCGGTTCTCGTATTCAATACGTCCATCTTTACAATTACAAACTTTGAAACGACAGTTTCTAGCACGAGACATATCCAAGCTAAGGCTGAAAAGGACTTTTTGTTGGAGTTTTGCTGATGGTGGATGAGAAATGAAGGTGAGGATAGCATACATTTTGGAGGTATGATGAAATGGTCTTGGTAATGGTACATAATTGAGGAAGAAGCTCAACCCAGTTTTCAGCCATAGTTTGAGGATGTGCATTTGATGACTGATATATCAAATAAGGAGTTTTCTGCAATCAGGACCAAAGAAATTTGTTCTGAACTGGATAAAATCATTTCAGTTTTGCCACATTAACTGTGGGAAATGGTTCCTCAACTTGTGAATAATGTTGGACAGCAAGTTGAAAAGTCCAGGAGCAGACTTTGGATCACTTGAGGAGGCAGAGAAACAAGGTTAGCTGCAATCATTGTCTAAGTGGTTCCTGACCTTTCTCAACCTACTTAGTCTGAGCAACAACAATGAAAATATGATTACTGCTAAGTTGTCCCTAAAATGCCTTACGTGATTGCAAGCCTTAGTTGTGACCTGTAATTAATTACTAACTTTTATTCTGTCTTTGGATTGTAGGGGTGCAAGCTCCTGGACCTGGAATTTTACAGCAACAAATAGCTGCTGCATCTAAAGCAGCCAAACTTGCAGGAAAAGGTAATATATTTGCATCCTGCATTGTATAGTGACTCAATGATAAACTGTTATTAGACATGTCAATAAAATCAGAAATGTCTCAGCATGATAGAGGATGAAGCAGGGAAAGAAGAACTTTGGATTATATAGCATTTCCATGACCATGGAGGATCTCAAAGTATCTTTTTGAAATGTAGCCTTTTGCTGAAATGTAGAAAACATGGCCAGGCATTTGTGCCAAGCAAGGTGTCACAATTGACAATGAGGTAGTCAATCAGATTTTTTTAGTGATATTAATTGAGTGCCAACTCACCAAGGATAAATCTGTGCTTTTCAAACAATGCCATAGGATAATTTGTCTACCTGAGAAATGAACTCAGTTTCATGTCTTATTCAAAGATAGCACTTCCAAACATATATTGTTCCCTCTATTATATTGGGGCATAAGCAGAGATTTTTGCCTCGGCTATCCAGCATGGGACTTGAACTGACAGCTTTCTGACTCAGAGACAAAAATGCTACCATGGAGTCAAGGCTGACAAGTGCTGAATTTATGAACTGATAATATCAAATGCTCCCCTTCCGCCAGCATTGCCCTTTTTTCCTTCAAAACTACTTTTCAATTCTACCCTTCTCTCTTATAAATGTCTTGATTGAGAGCCCCTTTGTATGCAACAATTTCCTATTCCTTTAGTGACCTCTCCCAACAGTATTTCTTTTCATTGTATCAATCTGGCTCCATTTAGTCCACAGAAACAACAATTTGCATTTACTGGTACCTTTAACACAATAAAATGTCCTAAATATGCGTGATGGTTGTGCTATCAATCAAATCTTGCAACACGTAAGGAGATATTAGAACAGGAAAAGATTAATAAATGAGGTAGGTCTTGGGGAATTTCTTAATAGAGGAGAGAAGCACTGAGAAGTTGTAGGAGAGGAGGTAACTGCAGAACTTGCAACCTACACAGCTGAAACCATGGCCACCAATAGCAGACTAATGAAAATTGTGGATGTACGATGGGGAAATAGTTGAAAATGGGCAGAATTACAGCCATTCCCCAGCTGAGGTTTCCCAGTTTGTTACAGCGCTAGCAGAATACCTCAAACCATTAAGCTTCTGGATGAGAGAGAACAGACAGCCTCCTCTTGGTTTTTCAATAGCCCCTTCCCCTCAGTTGGTCACAACAAATTTAATTATAAAAGGACCTTCTCCTTTTTGGATACTTTTCTGTCATAATGAAATCAACTTTTAAAAGATGCGCAGTTTAACAAAATGAGTGAGTTTATTAATTACTTAGTGAAGGAAGTAGTAGAAACATGACACACACACCCAGATTTGAAATAAAGGTGAGTCCAAAAGATAAAATTAAAAAAAGAAAGATCAATTTCTAAATTGTTTGTGAAGAACAGGTAGTTGAACATTGCAGCTGCTGTGATGGATCTTACCACAAGTGTGACGTTGTTCAACTACGAATCAATTTCAAGGTTCTTTGACGTTTCAGGTGCATTGAAAATTTTTTGTCCTGGCTACTTTTGCCAGTGCCTGACTAGCAAATCTCAGAATGAGAGTCTTTTACTGAAAACACAGATGTGTTTAAATGACTTCTCAGAGAGGTAACCATCACAGCACACTAGTCCACACAATAAGACATCAGGCCACATACACAGGTCAGGATTGAAGCTTACTTTTAATTCCTATTCCTCTATTGTTGAAAACGTGAAAGTGCACGTGTATTTCTCACTCAAACTGTTGTTTGTATTACCATCTGAGATACTACCAGCAGATTCAAATTCAGCTTGTAACGTATTTTTCCCTTTGAAGCTTCTTTAACACCTTGTCAGGTGTGACATGCCAGAGTGAGTGTCTGTCTGTGTATGTGCCTGTCTCTCTTTCTCTCTAGGCAGCCACTAAATTGCATCTTGATCAATGTTTGGCTGTGTGTCTTTTACAAAAATAAAATACATGTTGTAATTTATGTTCAATACAGCCATTGGTGATCTGGAGTTCTGATTCTTCACGCTTGCCCAACATGACAAATGAAATGAGATTCATTCTCAGCTCATTACAAAAAGGAGAAACAAGGAAGAAAAACAAAAAAAATCATAAAACAACAATCACATTAATTCCCCTAGCCTTCGTTAATTATCTAAGATCACATTTGGTTTCATGGCACTTTGGGTAATTTTTAAGCAGAATGTTGTAAGGAGCAAAGTCCAATGGAACAATGTAGCCATCCAGGTCTTAACTTTAGTCAAAAAGAAAAAGGAGGCACATGTAAGGTTCAAGAAACTGAAGACAGACAGAGCCATCGAAGAATGCAAAGGTGGCAGAAAAGAACTCGAACAAAGAATTAGGAGGGCTCAAAGGGGCCATGAAATGTTTTTGACAAACAGGACTAAGGAAAATCCCAAGGTATTTTGTACATAAAGAGCAAGAGGGTAACTGGGGAAAGGGTAGATCAATTCAAGGACAAAGAAAGAAATTTATGCATGGAGGAAGTGGGTAAGGTCCTTAACAAATATCTCACATCGGTATTCGCAAAGGAGAAGGACATGGTGGATAGTGAGTCTTGGAAGGGGTATGTTGGATATTCTAGAGCGTGTCAATATAAAAAAGGAGATGTTGAGTGTTTTGAAAAGCATTAAGATAGACAAGTTCCCAGGACCTAATGGGATCTATCCCAGAATGCTGAGGGAGGCAGGCGAGGAAATTGCTGGGTCCTTGTCTGAAATATTTGTATCCTCTTTAGTCACAGGAGAGATCCCAGAGGACTGGAGAACAATCAAAGTTGTTCCTTTGTTTAAGAAGAGCAACAGGGGATAATCCAGGAAATTACATGCTGGTGGGCCTTAAACCAGTGGTAGGGAAATTGTTGGAGAAGATACTTAGGATATAATTTACTCACATTTGGAAAAATATGAACTTTTTAGCGATGGGCAGCATGGCTTTGTGCGAGGAAGGTCATGTCTCACAAACTTGATTGAGTTTTTTTTGATGAAGTGACAAGCATAATTGAAGGCTGGGTGGTAATGGTATATTGATGTCTCCATGGATTTTAGCAAAGCCTTTGACAATGTCCCTCATGGCAGGCTACACAAAAGATGAAGTCACATGGAATTTGCAGTAAGCTGGTAAGATGGATTCACAACTAGCTTAGAATAGAATACACAGAATAGGAGTGGAAGGGAGTTTTTCTGACTGGAGATCTGTGACCAGTAGTGTTCCGCAGCGACCAGCACTATGACCCATGTTGTTTGAAACCTATATAAATGATTTGGAGGAGAATGTAGGTGATCTGATTAGTAAGTTTGTGGATGACACAAAGATTTGGGGAACTACAGATCGTGACGAGGATTGTCAGAGGATACAGTAGGATATAGATAGGCTGGAGACTTGTGTGGAGAAATAGCAGGTGGAGTTTAAGCCACACAAATGCGAGGTGATGTATTTTGGAAGATCTAATGCAGGAGCGAAGTACACAGTAAATGGCAGAATTAGTAATACCAACATACAGAAGGATCCAGGCATACAGGTCTATGTTCCCTGAAAGTGGCAATGCAAGTGGATAAGGTGGTCAAGAAGGCATACAGCATGCTTGCCTTCATTGGTCAGGGCATAGAATATAAAAATTGGCAAATCATGTTGCAGTTGTGTAGAACTTTAGTTTGGCCACATTTGGAATATTGCATACAGTTCTGCTTGCCACTCTACCAGAAGAATGTGGAGGCTTTGGAGAGGGAACAGAAAAGGTTTACCAGAATGTTGCATGTTTTTAAGGGTATTGGCTATGAGGAGAGGATTGGACAAACTTGGTTTGTTTTTATTGACTGTTGAAAGGTGATGGGTGACCTAATAGAAGTTTATAAAATTGCGAAAGGCTTGGATAGAATGCACGGTCAGAGTCTGTTCCCGGGATAGAAATGTCAGTTACTCGATTTAGATTTTATTGTCACGTGTACTCAAGTACAGAAGTATAACAGTAAGGTGAAAACTGTAAAATGTCACCGCACACAGTATCTTAAGTACAAATGTACCTAGGTATAAAAACCTTGGGTATAAAGTAGTTAGAGAAACAGAGTTTAAATAGTTAAGCATTACCTTCATACAATAAGTAGAAAAATAAAGAAATAAGGTAATAGTTGACATTAAAGTTCTTCTTAATTCTAACTAGAAAAGTAGAGGAATTAAGTTAAAAATGCAGCAGTCTTTGAGTCCTCCACTTATCTCGCTCTCTGGAGACCTCAGCTGCCTGTTCTCACTGCAGCCACAGATACCGGGGGGGACCCCCATTATCACTCGCTCTTCAAGCGTTGGGCTGTGAAGCCATTGCTGTTGCTGCTGCTGCTGAATCTGCCGCACCCCAGTCTCCACCTGGTCCTCTGGGACATGTCTGGCAGGACCAAGTGGCACGACAAGATACTGCCACGGTCAGCCAAGAGACCGCCATGAGCTGCCAAGAGACCAAGCTGACATCACAACAAGCCGTGAAGAGACCAGGCTGTAACACTGCCATGAGCTGCTGCCAGACCAGGCTGAGACACCGCCAAGCTGAGAGACCGTCGCAGGCCACCAAGAGACCACGCTGGGCCAAGAGACTGCCATGTGCCACAGAGGCCAGGCTGAGAAACCACCACAGGCGCTTCGCTGGGTCTGCGCTGAGGCCTGGAGTGAAGAAAGGAAACATCAACAGAGAAAGGAAAAGAGGAAAATAAAGAGAAAGAAAGAGATGGAGCAAACGAGCTCTGCCTGAAGATTTGGCTGAAGCGCTGCCATCTCATAAGTTTAAGGTAAAAGGTGGTAAGTTTAAAGGAGATGTGAGAGGCAAGTTGTTTACACAGAGGGTGATAAGTGCCTGGAATATGCTGCGACAGGAGGTGGTGGAGGCAATGTTTAAGAGGCATTTTGATAGATACATGAATAGGCAGAGAAAAGAGGGACATGGACCGCATAGAGGCAAAAGGTTTGTGTCAGTGTAGGCTTGGTGGGCCGAAGGGCCTGTTCCTGTGCCATTCTATTC